CGAGAATTGAAGATCTGGTCTCGTTAACGTCAAGTACTGCAGTTTTCCTGCTAAGCTTCTGAAAAAAAGGTCTCGGCAAACAATTCATCATGTCCAGCAAGATTATCTAGCTTCATAGGAAGAGGAGTAGGCATCGATGAACAATCTTTCATACCAGCATTGATGAGAAGATCTTGAGCATACTTTGACTGATTCAAGAACAAACCATCTTCACAACGTTGAACTTGAATGCCTAGAAAGTAGTGGACTGGTCCCATGTCTTTTATACGGAAAACTGAACTTAATTTCTCAAGCAAACTTCCTAATAAGATTTCATTGTTTCCTGTCAAGATCATATCATCGACATAAAGTAGCAGATAAATGACATATGTACCGCGGTGATAGACAAACAATGAGGGATCAGGAAAACTACATTGAAACCAAACTCAAATAGAAAGTTTCTAAATCTATCGAACCATGTTCTAGGTGCCTGCTTTAGGCCATATATAGTTTTCTTTAACTTCCAAACATGGTCTGGTCTTGTATGGTCTTCAAATTCAGGAGGTTGAAGCATATAAACTGATTTTTTTAAATCACCCTGTAGAAAAGCGTTTTTCACATCGAGCTGCTTGATAGACCATTTCTTTGTGACTGCAACATGAAACATAGTTCTTATTGTTGCAGTCCTAACCACTGGACTAAATGTTTCCAAAAAGTCCACTCCTTCTTCTTGCTCATTGCCCCTATCCACCAGACAAGCTCTTAGCTTCAAGACAGTTCCATCTGCATTCAGTTTTGTTTTCTAAATCCAGCCACAATATTTTGTCCTTCTTCTGGGGGAACTAATTCAAACATCCATGTTTCTTCCATGTTGTCGACTTCTAATCTCATTGCACCGGTCCATCCTTGATATTTCAACACCATTTTCTTACTTATAGGTCAAGGGTAACCTGTTTTGACTGACCTCATTGCATACTTGGGATTTGGTTTCATGATTCCAGACTTAGCATGAGTTGTCATAAGATGAGAAACATGTGCTGTTTTCTGAACTGGAGCCTGCAACATTTCATGCATTGTTTCATTGTCGTGATCAGACTGAGAACTAGATGAGTTTGATGTAGTTTCTATTGTTGATTCATTAATCTCTTCATTTTGCACTTCATGATTCTCCAGAAACTGAATTGGTTGCAGTATCACTTCTCTGACCACTGGTGGAAGTAGCTCTTAAGAAGTTATCTCAGTCTCATCTGACAAATCTGGTTGAACTAAATTCACACTTCTCCATGAGTTTAACAAAGTCGTATTTGTATCTTTGTGAAACCGACTGTATATATCTACAAAAGAAAGTGATTTTCATCAAAAAGAACATGTCTTGAGATAAAAAACCTTTCCTGAAGGTGGTTACAAACATCGACATCCCTTGTATTTTTTATTATATCCGAGAAACACACAGACAAGAGATTTTGGATCCAGCTTGTTCATCATATATGGCCTGAGATAAGGATAACACTTGCATCCAAACACTCGCAGAGAAGTATACACAGGTGCTTCTCCATTCAAAACTTCATACGGACTCTTTCTTTCCTTCAACACTGAAGATGATAACAAATTCCCAATAAAATCTGCAGTAAAGAAGACCTTAACCCATAAGTGCTGCGGCACTTTGCTATCAAACATCATGGTGATTCCAAGCTCAGTAAAATGTCTATGTTTTCTATCTGCCAAGCCATTTTGTTGTGGTGTGTGAGGACATGACACCAACTGCTTAATACCATTCGACTGTAAGTGTTGCAAAAATTGTTTGTTGATAAATTCTCCTCCTCCATCACACTGAGACTGAGCAATACGATGTTTGTACTGATTCTCTACCATTGTTTGGAATCGAACAAAGACATAAAATAATTCAGACTTGAGCTTGAGAGGATAAAACCAAGTGTATCTTGAATAATTATCAATGAAAATGACATAGTATCTGAACCCTTGTGAGGAAACCACATGACTAGATCCCCACAAGTCACAGTTAATCCTTTTTAATGGAAGATTAGAGACAGAACCAGAGTCTACAAAGGGGAGCTTTGAGCTTTTTCCTAAATGACAAGCATCACAACACTGACATGTGATTGTCTTATTCATAAGAAGGATAGATAAACTTCTTGAGAGATGCTGAAGAACATCCACATTTGTATGACCCAACCTTCTATGCCACACACCTTCACTTGGAGTTTGTTGACATGTTGAATAGAAAGCTTGAAACTTCATGTCCTTTAGCACATACAGATCTTTAAGTCTTCTGCCTTGAGTGATCACTTTCTTTGTTACCTTGTCCTTATCACACACAGAATCTCAGTCGAAGGTAAACTCATAAGGATAGTCAGAGGTCAACGTGAAAACAGACAGAAGAGAGTTAGTTATACTGGGGCATATCAACACATCATTAATAGGTAAAGTACCTTGAGAGGTCTGAAGATTAACAGAACCAACATGAGTAATTGGAAATTAATCACCATTTCCAACTATCACTTGGTCATTCCCCAAATAAGGTGCAAATGACTGCAGTTGACCACTGTTGTTTGTGATGTGAGCCGATGCTCCTGAATCAGGATACCATTCCTGATTTGAACGCTGATCCTGTTCTGAAACCTTATCGCAGTAAGAGCCGTGTGTATGTTGTATGGAGTCTGAAAGTCTTGATCAAATCTGCTGTAACACTTTGGTGCAGTATGACCATATCTGCCATAGATTTGACACATGGGTCTTGTGTTTGATGTTGATCCAGAATCTCCAGCAAACAGTTGTTGAAAACCTCTGCCTCTTGTTGAGTAGATGTGTTACCACGACCTCTGTATCTTCCGCGATGATTGTAGTTTCACAGCAACGATTGTTATATCCTCTTCCAGCATGAAAGGCCAAGTGTGGATTCACCTTAGGTTGTTGGTTGAACGTCTTCATTTTGTCATCAAAACTACCAACTTGAACACATCGTCCTCAAAACTCATTCCAGAAACATAATCCATGAAGTCTTCTATAACATGGAGATAGCTTCATATCCTTTTCCTATACCACTCAAAGCACCATAAATCTTTTCTTGATTAATTACATGATATCCTATCGAATCCAGTTGGTCACACACATATTTGATCTCTCCTAAATACTCAGTCATAAACTTTTCTCCCTTAGACATACCTTGAAGAATACGCTGCAGATCTAGCTTGCGTGTTACTGAAACCCTATTGTACTTCTTCCCGAGACTGTACCACACTTTTTGGGCTGACTGCAGACCGTAAACTGAATGTAGAGCTTCTTCTGACAATGAACCAAACAACCAAGCCATGACCAACTGGTCTCTGCGAACCCACTTGACAAACTCTGGGTTTGCTTCTTCAACAACAACATCACCATCTGTTCTAGTGACTGTAGGAAGTGGTCTTGGTGTAGATTCTTTAACGTAACCAAGCAATGACTAACTCGACAGGAACAATTCAAATTGAATCTTCTAGAGAAGATAGTTCGAAGATGAGAGCTTCAGAGTAACACACTGAGAGATACTTAATGACGGAGTAGAGATAGTTTATGAAGCCTCTCCCATGGCTCTGATACCATAAAGATGGCAAGAAACTAAAGACGTAAACAAGAAGAAAACTTTGTGTTCTCATTCACTTCTCTATTTGATGACATGCCTCACTCTTTACATCAATATATACAACTATAAAAATTAGGTTAACCTCAGCACACTAACGCACAGCTATCCAAACACTTGAACTTATTCCTTGTGGTCACACAGTGAGCTGGCATGTTCGTACCATGCTCACGCAAGAGCTGCTTGTTTCCTTGTTTCTTAGAAGACGATAAGATGACGTTCTTGGGCTGACTTAAAGCAACGGTGTTCTTCTTCTTTTCTATTTGGACTTTAGTTGAAGGTCCAATATCAGTGTGTTTTATACAGAGTACAATCCAAACAATTCAATCTGATCTATTAATGCTCAAAAAACCATCATCTCGATGAGGTGTATTAGAGACAAAGATTTTACATCAATAGTTGAAAATAATTCTAAATAGTATATAAGATAAATAGGTTAATCCACTTATATGATAAAAGTCCATATTGTTCTCAGTCTAATCTTCGTGGTAGAGAAATGAAAGCATCATTACTGTCCATTCTTTTGCGACAAATTGACGTCCACTAAAATTATTTTCTTGTCGACTGCTTCGTCATCAATTAAACACCGATTTCATCCAAAAAGAAATTGAGAATTTGACTAATGAAGGCACCGTCCAGATCTTCAGTGGATCAAATGAGTTCTCATAATAAGGTATATTGATGTAATACGATCTTCTTACATCTATAAATTGATTAAAACAGTATAGTAATTAAGTATAATATTTTTATACTCCGACTATTATAACACGAAGGTTTTGGATTTAGCTGAAATCTTTACAGATCTGTGTAGAAATTTATAGATCAAAAGACAGATTCCTTTAGGATACAAAAAAATGAGTCACATAGGAAAATTTATGGACAATATAAAAGTAAGGGTGGAAACAGTAAAAATGAAATGCATGAAGGCAATAAGAAATTTAAATAAATGATATATGAACGAGGGAAGAAGATATTGTTTCATTCAACTTTTGTTGTATAGTAGATAACTTCCATAGTTTATTCTTTAGTTAAATTGGTGGATTTAAAATGTGTATAACTAGGTAGCGTACAGTGAAACTTCTATAAATTAATAATGTTAGAACTATACTAAAATTTTATTTTTTATTAAATTAGAGAGATATTAATTTATCGATATATTAATCGAACAAAAAAATCAATTTGGGACTATAAAATTATATTATTTTATAGAAATATTTAGTGTATATTAATTTATTGAGTATTAATTTATAGAGGTTCTATTGTATTTCAATTTTCTGATTATGGGTATATAGGGAAACGGTCTACGTATATTTATGAAAACTATACCGATATTTTGAAAAATATACATTAATTATCATCTAAATAAAAAAGTAATGGGATGACTCTCTCTGCTACTTCACCTACTATTTAACATACACAGAGATGCAGTGCTAGAGTACAACAAACCCAAAAGCTTCGCATTGAAATAGTTTTCACTAGCGTATATAAAAGATTGTATATATCTTTCAGTTTACAACAGACTATAGACGATCAAAGAAAAGAAACGTGGAACAAAAGCATGGGAATTACTACGGAAGATGAAGGTTCTAGAAGGATGAGGAAAAAGAAAGAACATCCCAAGAAGATGAAGACGATTCTAAAGAATCTATGGAATGTGGGAAAAGAAGATACGAGGAGATTGAAACATGCTTTGAAAGTAGGAGTTTCATTAACACTTGTGTCCTTACTGTATCTCATGGAACCTCTCTTCAAAGGTATCGGGAAAAATGCAATTTGGGCAGTCATGACCGTCGTTGTCGTTCTCGAGTTCTCTGCGGGTAATTATATCAACAATAATTTACATTTTGTTTGTTTGTGATCTTATCTCAATGGTACTCATATTTTCACCATGGATGCGGTTCCTCTCTCTCGCCCTCTTTTAATTTATAAGTATATATATATATATATATATATATATATATATATTTTTTTTTTTTCCCTTTCTCTAAAGCAAAGTTGGGAAATTGCCAAGCACAAAAATTATAAGAATTGAGCAATACCACAAAGTATTTTTTACAGATTTTATCTATTTAATTATCTTCCAGCTAAAAATTCTTACTGACTTGCGTTTCAATAGGATCAAAATATCTGGCCATGGTAACTTTTAATATTAGCTAGCATATATAATTGCAGGTGCGACATTACGCAAAGGATTAAATAGAGGCTTAGGGACACTAATAGCAGGATCTCTGGCATATCTTATTGAGTTTGTTGCTATTAATTCCGGTAAAATTTTCGGAGGTATCTTCATTGGCGCTGCTGTATTCATCATCGGTACGTACTCTGTTATACACTTCCACTGGTCATACATTTATATTTTGTTAAACCATTGTGCATGCATATATATATATATATATAAAACATATATTGTTTTTTTTCTGTAGCTGGCTTTTATATTAAATGCAGAAGAAATGTTATATATAACATATACTAGGTATTTTTTGCACCATGTGCAGAAATAAGAGTTTTAAAATTAAACTTTTTTTAAGAATTAATAAAATATTTGTTTACTTTAACTATATGTAAAAATTTAAGATAAAATAATAAAATTTATTTAAATTTATATTTACTAATATATATGTATATATTTAAAATTATATTCTAGGAAAGATTTTTTTATCTTTTTCTTTTAGTTAAAATATGTTAAACCAGATTCTATATAATTAAGACAAAAACATTTAGGTATATAATTATCAAAATAAAAATTGAATAATATTTAGAAAATTTATAGATGTTATAAATAAACTAAAGGTATTAAGATTATAAAATTACATTTTTTAAACCCGCATGAAATTTTGAAATATCTTAATAACAAAAATTATCTAATTATAAAAAAAGAGACTTAAAAAATATTTCAAATTTTTTTAAATATTATAATATTTTTATTTTTAATATTATATTATTTATTGTTATATTAATGATGATTTATTAGTTACTACTATATTTTAAAATTTTACCAAAAATATAATTAATATTAAAATATAAATGTCTAAATCCATGTCATAATTAACTCTAAACCATGTAAATGTTATTAGTAAACATGTCATTATTTTTAGTGAGATTGATTATGATGATGTCACAAGTCAAAATCATTTTGGGATAGTCAGTTTGTGATATATTAAATTTTAACCAAAGGGGTAGCAACGCTGAGACCAATTTTTTTGGAGAAGAGACTACTTGGCAAATATTCTAAACTCCTATGATTAAATAAAAATTAATCGAAATTTAGAATATGGTGACGTTGATTAGATGGCCAAGATCTTATGTCTAACTTATGACAATGCATTAAAATACCATAATTTAAATATATATATATATATATGTGTGTATGTAGAATCAAATTTTAAATTCCTATGTCTAACAGGATCAACGATAACGTACATGAGATTTGTTCCATACGTAAAGAAAAACTACGATTACGGTATGCTGGTATTTCTTTTGACGTTTAATCTAATCACAGTATCGAGTTACAGAATCGATACTGTGATTAAAATCGCACACCAGAGATTATTAACCATTGCTATGGGTATTGGCATTTGCCTTTTCATGAGTCTTTTGGTTTTTCCAATATGGTCTGGCGATGATCTTCACATGTCCACCGTTACTAAGTTCCAAGGCCTCTCACGCTCTATTGAAGGCACTCTTAAATCAAAACACTAAACATGAAAATTAATTGTAATTATACATATTTGTGATTTTTATCCTATACATAGCCTGTGTAAGTAAGTATTTCGAGGAGAAGGAGAAAGACACAGAAGATTCAGATTATGAATCTGATGATGAAGACGTAATCTACAAAGGGTATAAGACTGTTTTGGATTCTAAATCCTCTGATGAAGCACTAGTAAGTCATCTTAAATCAAAAATTTTATTTGAAATCCGACTAAATTCTTGACTGAAATTGCTTAACATTTATTTGTCAACATTAAATTTATAATATTTATTTACAAAAAGTCTAAAAGACTACACTAATATTAAAAAGAAAAAAAATTACATAATAAAATAAATAGAAAATGATTTCTTGTCACAGTTAAAACCTAAGGTCATGATTAATCCCGATCTTTTAATTAGGGTTCCTAAAGCAAATCCATTGATAAGAATCTGGATTTTTATGAATAAATTAGTAGTTAATTAGGTGATTTGAGAGATGTCAAAAAAAAAAAAAAAAAAAAAAAAATT